TGAGCGTTCTGGCGCACTATGGCACATTGGTGGTGGTGGAGGGGAGTCCCTATTACCTGTAAAGTGCTTTGAGTGGAGTGTCCAGAAAAGCACTATATAAGTGTAAGCAATTATTAATTATTATTACTAACTGACTAGTGACCAGAACTGCTCAGGACACAATTGTCAGGGCTCTGCCAGGGTAGGGCTGGTGTTAGCTGTCCAGGGTCTTCTCAGTTCTTGACACAATTGAGATACCTGTGACATGCTGGGCACCAGTGGGTGTGCAGTGATGTCGCTGAGTGATATGCCATTTCTCCAATTGGCACCAACTCTCCTGTCAGGTGCTGTGATCCATGCAGCATGACAGGTGATAAATGGCTCTGGTGGGCATGTCAGAGTCACAAATCTATTTTGTTCACCATGTGGGGATACAGGGGTCATTGCTGGAACATTGAGTTGTGAAATTCTCGTATTGGGGATTCCAAATTGGGAATTAGGGCACAGAGCACTGGTTACAGGAGCACTGACTGCCAGAAGATGGATCACAGTAACATTGATCAAATCTGATCATGGCTATATTGCTTAAGTAATATAGGCCCAAATTGGTTTACATTTTTAATTCAAATTCCAACTGCACATTACAGATCCAGTATTTGATGTTTTCATTTAATTCAAATAGAAGCAAGAGGACTGGAAAGCTGGTAAAAGTTGTCTTCATGAATCTGGAATGCAAATTTTAATGATTGGTGGATAGGTCAGAATTTTATTTTGTAAGCGCCCATGATCTGCTTTGGGCTTTGTAGTGTGTGATTACAAATCAATAAAGTAGTAAAGCTTTATTCTTACAAGTTTCTTCTTTGGTGGAATCATACACTATAATTCCAGTCTGGGCAGTTCTTTTGATCATGAACCTTTTTTAGTGCAAAAATGTGTGACCAGAACTCCAGCCTGTTACTTTCCCTGTGACAGGTTATTTTCTGTCAGTGTTCCTACACCCATCTCAATCAGCCTGCCCCGAGGGACTCTGCACTTAGAAGATAAAAGGGCAGCTATTCTGGGGCAAATAAGTGCTATTCCATATGATTTTATAAGAAAATAACAAAAATACAGATACGTTTTATTAACACCTTGTAAGGTTGGGAGTTGTCAATAACAGAACTCTTTCTTATCTCTCTCCTTGCCTTGCTGAAGACCTCAGGAGATGGAGGAATTGTGCTTGTTTACACCTGGCTGCCTGTCTGCAGCTACTGATCAGTATCAACAACATAATCGAGGGTTTATAATGGCATTATAATAGCTCCTGCAGGGTCACACCCTCGACCTCAAGGGTAGTTTAGGGACATCTCTGAAGGAGTTGTTTTTGGCTCCTACATGTGTTCCTGGAAGCAGAGACAACAGAGTCAGGAATGTGTTGCTCTGATAACATTTTCTTAATCCGGGCGTGCTAGGTTCCAGCCACAGAGGACTGTGATGTCTGCAGATTTTTATTCCACCTGAGCTCTTAACTACCTAATTTCACTGATTATTGGTTTATCTGGGTCAAATACCACTAACCTTTCCTGGTCTGTATGGTTTCTTAGGATTATAAATTAAAGAGACCTAAAATACCTGCTGGACTGTGTCCCTCTAGGGCCAGGAGTGTGCTCCCCTGTTCTAGACTGTCATTTGAAACTCCAGGAATCTGGATAAGGATATCCCTTTCAAGCCTGTCTTACTGACGTAATCAGCAGGGATTGTATATACTATATTCTGTGAAGACTGCTTTGGAAGTGCGCAACATAAACTGATAAACATAAACATACAGTGCACTGTACATGGATTTTCAAGTTAACCAGAAGCCACAGCTAGAGATTTTTTAAAAATCTTTATCAAAGAACTCCTGAGAGAAATGCAGTAATGGTGATAAGCCAGTAGTCACAGATATGAAGAGGACCATGATAAATGTAAATGGCAGAAAATGTAGAGATATAAGTAGTGAAGTGGCACCTCTATTCTGAATCCTAGGTGGGATCTTGATTTGTATCCTCAAGTTATTGATTTGTCCACATAAAACGTGGCTTAAAGCCTTTGGTTGTTTACTGATTTTTAACATCTATCAGCTAGGCTACACCAGTGATCCCAAATTCAGTCTTTTCTGTTTTCCTAACACATATCTAGATGCCTTTGTATGTCATAGATCAAGTTTCATCAAGAACACAAAAAAAATAACCAAAGGAAGGCTATTTGACACATAATAATTACAATTGAGTTTTAATCTGCCACATTCACGTAAAACATTTTGTGAAGATTCACGGTTGACAAAATGAGTAGTTCAGACAGTTACTGCTGCCTTTAGTCTGCTTTTGTCTCTGTGTATCCTTGAAGGCCTTTTCTGGGAGCTCCTGCTGGCTGGGGCCGCTGTGGTAGCTGTGAATTCTTCTACTTCAACTCTGAGGGTCACACATTGCCAGTGCCTAGGTGGTGGCAGGCAGTGTTGGAACCAGAAAGGAGCAACAAAGGACCCCCACCAGCATGACTTACCTGGAGCACAGCTGCCTGAAGCCTCCCTTTCTTATACCCTGGCTGTCAAAACAGGGGGTGACAAAGGGGATGAATGTCCACAGATTAGAAAGATCCTGCCTGTGATCTCTGTAGAGAAAGGAGAGATAAGAGAGACAAAGCTGTAATGCACCATGGTGGTATTTCTGCTCTTAGAAAAACACTCTCTTCCACTTTGTTGTTTCATTAAAAAAAAGCTTCACTGATTTTTCTGCCAAATATTTTTAGATTTTCACTTAAGAGCATCAAAGGGGACTTTTTAGTGTTTTCTACCAGTGTTAACCTCTTCTACTTTGTATCATTTATTTTGAATTGTCAAGTCTCTGGGTGGAAGGTAGGAGGTGTTGTAAAGGGTATGCACAGTGTTGCTCTTTTTTTACTTCTTCAAAGCCGAACATCTGAGCTGCTTGCTATTTACCAATGAATTACCCCATTTTCAGAACATAAAACAAAAACAAAAGATCAAAAGGTTTATATGCAATGGCACTGGAACAATGGATTAAAAATATTTTGTCTTTGACCAAGTTTAAGTTTGTTTTGAGTAAATTTGTGCAGTACCCCAGTTCCCATGGCTAAGCAAGTAGACTACCCATGGTGAACGACTATTAAAGTTATACAATGCAAAGTAAGTATAAAGTATAAAATGCAAATATTGTTTTTTTATATACTTTATGGATATACAGTATGTACAATCACAGACACAAGCGTTCGCTATGATTTCGGGTTAATTCAGACAGTAATGCAATAGTATTTAATGCAGTACAAAATTATAAGATAAGATCACTTTATTGGCCACAGACAATTTCTTGCATTAGGAATTTGTCTTTTCACAGACCCCAGCTTGGTCTCCATGAGACACACAGACAGGGAGAGAAACTTGTGGTCAGAGCGCAGGGTCAGCCGTTTATACAGCACCCCTGGAGCAGTTGGGGTTAAGGGCCTTGCTCAGGGGCCCACCGGAGTAGGATCCCTCTGCCAGTTGTGGGATTTGAGCTGGCAACCTTCCAGCCACAGGCACAGGCACAGATCCTTAGCCACAGAGCCACTGTTCCACCCCTATTTATCTGATGTTTAATGCTGATTCCAAATAGAAACACCTTCTGTGTGGTGATGCATGTTATCTCTGTGTCTGCTTGAATGTTCTTTGTTTGCTCAGGCTTCCTCCCACACACCAAAACTTCTGGCTAGATTAACAACTGGTGCCTCTAAATAATCGCGGGATGCTTGTGCTGTTTATGTGTATATCACATACTGGCTATCCATCCAGGGTGTGTGTAATCACCAGCTAAAATATTAGGATCCACCATCACAAATCCTTCTAGTAGGATGGCTTTCAGCTGAGGTGGTCATGGGGATTATGGTGTGTGGGACTGAATTGCATATTCAACCAGTTTCACATCTTCTTCGTAGTCCCGTGATCTGGCATTGTTTTTGCCAGGAAAACTTCTGTTTCATAAACTCAGTGCTATTTGGCTTGGATTCCCAATATTATGAACAATGTCCATGTGCATAGCTCAGGAAGATCTGAGCAATGGGGTCCATTTCCATTGTGGTATTATTTCCATTAGTGCACATTATACTCAGACAGTCATAACATAATAGATTGTTTTGTTACATAATGCTTTGTCTTTTGTAGGTGAAGTATATATGATTACTGACAGCAACAAAGTACATTGTACTGTCATCATAATTTTCCTATGGTTCAGACAATTCTAACATAAAAAGAACATATTGTTGTGTTTCTTGAGCCAAGTTTTAAAACGTTTCAGCCAGCCCCTATCTGGATCAGGGAGACTTTGAGTGTTTGCTACTGTGTTTTGGGAGATGAAAGTGCTGTGCAATGTCAGTGAGGATTTGGAACAACGTGAGGCCTCCAATCTCACCCTCAGCCTGTGCTCTTCTCCAGGACCTCCTCCACCTGACAGAATTGGATATACGACAGATGGGAGTTCGCAGCCAGAAACATAGAGAACACATCCTTTCCAGTATCCAGGTGCTGAAAGAGATGGAGAGGAGAAGAGGTAAGCCAGGTCTCTCAGTGCAAACTCACCAACAGAACCATAACTAGTTCCTCTCCTTTGTAAGAGCTTACTAGCATACAACCTGGTACAAGCAGAGGAAAGTGTAGTAAAGCATAACCATGCAGCCACTAAGTGAAAGCTTAGTATAAGCATGTTAAAGGACATGGTTTAACTGCAACAGTATCACTACCATTTACATGAACTCTCATTTGAGCTACCGGACTTCACTTGTCAACCTTAAGTTGTTTACTCTTGAGCTGATAATCAAAGTAACTTGACAACTGTCTTGTGTAAAAGCTGTACATCAGTGTAATTTAGTAGCACTACACACCGATAGGCACTTTCTATCCGACTTTAGAAGCATTGCTTGCAAAAACAAGTTTCAGCCAGTTTGTTAACTTTCGTACATTGAATCTCAGTTTTGGGGTAGTTGCTTTTGGATTTCTTAGAGTTAATGAAGTGAGTTACGCAGATCTGCATATCCCTTGTTGCTGCTCGTGGGTTTGTGTCACCTTTGAGTCACACTGCCCTGGTGTTGCAACCATGATACTAATGTCTACAAACTGTGTTACAGTTCTAAACCAGTGTGATTTTATTCAATTTGTACAAAGAAGGCTTTGAAACATTAATACTCATACCTACAAAGAGAAGAACCATTGCTTTGAAGTCCTACCAACTTGAGTACCTGAAGAGGGTTTGCACACTTTCACCTCACTCATATCGCTGCTCAAAAATATTGTTGGGTGAAACTTGGCATTAATTAAAAGCATGCCCGGCTATGGATCTTGTCAGGATCTCTGGCAAGCAGCAGGAATGGCAATACTGAAACAGTGTTTAACACTGTTATTTTTATTTGACCAATTCCCTCTAATGTATTTTGTGGGACTTAGAACCAAATGTTTTTTTTTTGTCTTGTTTTCAACAGCAGCACACAAAAATACCTTTTTTTAAAAAGTAACATCTTAAGTTATAAAAAAGAAGAAAACAAATTATCCCAAATAAGGAAAAAACATTGTGTAAAGGTTTGTATGAGAGAACAGTTTTTTGCTGGAGCCTCAGTGTAATTGTTTAGTGTGGAAATCATGTTGCAACAAGAGCTGTTACTCACTTTGCTCCAAAAAACACAACACTGACCAAACATCACTTCAGTCAAGAGCACTGGGAAACTCACTCCATTTCCAGGCTTTATCTAATCCATCTGACAGGCAGACCCAGTGTTTTTACAGCCCGGGTTAAATTAGTGTTTGTCTTGTCTCCAGCCCCTTTACAAAGTGTTTATGTTGTAGTATCCAAGTTTTGAGAGTGATGTCTCTAACAGAATAGGTCCATGAATCAATGCAAAGAAAAAGGGCCTTCACTTCTAAAAAAAACATGTGTCTCAACAAGTCTAGGTCTCTGACCTGATTGTTGCAGTAATCATTCCGTATTGTAGCATCACAGGTTAGGCCTATACATCTCTGTATTGTTTGTATTATCTATGACTGCTCAGTAACAACCCAGTTGAGCATATGGGTCACATACCCAATTTCATTCTCACTTTAGTTACTTTATGTTAAAATAATCAGTGATACCTTCATTCAGATTCACAACATTCATCCTGCTCAGTAAACACAGAAGCTGTGTTGTTGCCCAGAGCTGTGAGTTGCACAATAAAACAGCATCTCAGTGCTTCACCATCTGGAAAACCACATTCGTTAAAGCTGTGGTGTGAAACAAGTTTTTACAAGAGTTCAAATATTACAATGATGAATCGAATGCAATCTTGGCATTTAAAAAAATACTTTTCAAGAAGATGCTCCTTTGTTTTCAATAACTTCAAAAATAACATTTTTTATCGATATGTTACAAACACATTTAAACACACTTAAACACATTTTGCACACTTATTCGAGCCTAAACTTAAGGAAATATGAAATGTTTGTAATGAAAAATGTTGTATGAGATCTGTGAAATCTGTTCCTGTTGTATTTCTGAGAGGTATGAAGTATTTGCTGATTTGTTGTCATTTTGTTTACTGTTTTGTGAACAGTGGTCATTTTATTACAGTTAACAAGATCATTAAAATACTTTTTTTGTCATAAGTCACTGCGAAACCTATAAATATCACTTCAATTACTGTAGATAGCAATGCGTTCTGTAATATGGTCTTGCCTCCTTTGTAGTACTTTACAATCCAACAAGACAAAAAAGCAGAAAAGCTGTACTTCTCTTTCTGAAATCCACTGGAAGTCATTAGAAGGTGTAAATAAAATGACCGGTATATTTTTAAATCACCTTGAGGCAGCAGTGGGATATGTAGAATTAGGATTTGAAAGAACACAAGTGTCTCTAGGAATTGTAAACCTGCTTCTTTATTTTCTGAGCTTTTTCTTTGACTCTTTTTTATGTTTTGTTTTTAACTGGCTAGAAACAGATTATATTTCAACTGCAATTAACACCTAATCATTTCCCTGCTTTTCATCCTCACATTCCCCCTATGAACTGCAACTTCTTTGTTAGGTGAAACCTCTAAAGTCACCCTACCCATAAATAATGAGAACTATATTTTTCTTTAAAGAGAATAGGAGGAGGAATTAAAGTTGGACATTCAGGCATATTTATATTCTGCACTATTTCATGTCCTTGCATTACACCATTTATGAAGAAAACAACGAATAAATCCACAATAATGTATCTCTTGTCTGAAAGTGGAAGTTGTGTCTAGGTTTATTTTCTTGGTCTTTTCTTGCATAAAATGGTGAGATGAGAACATCTGTGTCATGCGTCTATTTGATATTGGCTTCATTTTTCATATTTGAATTATTTGGTTGCTTGACTGACTCCTTTCTCTGAGGCATTTTCCCCTTGAAGTCAATACATGACCTTTACACATCCAGCAGACGTCCTGAGTGAAACCTTGGTCTTTCTTACCATTTCAGTTAGACACACAAAGGGGTCTGATAACCAAACCAAATCATCCACTAATGTAAGCCCTGTGGAGTGATAATGGGCTTCTGTACTGTTGGCATGCTAATGTTTGAGGGTTACTTCCCCAAGGAGCAATTTGAGAGGTGTGAAGTGTCTGTATTGTTTGAAATTGAAAAGATAGACAGGAAAGCTGGGTTCCAAAAAAATAAATGAGAAATATCTGGTCACTATTACCAGCTTTTGTACTGGATAAATCTTGAAAATGTCTATACTGTACATAGACAGACGGTAGAATAAAGGTCTCTCAGCAAGAGTTGATTCAGCCAAATACAACTATCTTAGCGCTTAGCAAGTCTGAGCACTGCGGTTACAAGGAAAGCGTTGGTGATGAACAGCACATACTGTTAAGAAATTATCTAAATTATCTGAAAGGGTATAATAATGGTGGATGCTGCACACTGGTGTTGGTGGAGGGGAGTCCCCATTACCTGTAAAGCGCTTTGAGTGGAGTGTCCAGAAAAGCGCTATATAAGTGTAAGCAATTATTATTATTATTGTT